GGCCGAACGCCCGCAGCAGGCTGGAGAGGAGCAGATCAAATACTGATGTGCCACCTGGGGTCTCCAAAGGAGGTCACGCGTATGGAGTAGGGGGAGCGCGAGACGTGGGGGGCCAGGGAAGGCTGCTTTCCCCTTCGGCTTTTAAGTCTTCCCTTTCTCATCGCTGAGAACCTTCCACGCACCCAGAGAGAATTTTCACTGATCTCTTCCCTCCCGACCTCAGAACAACAACAAACCCCTCAGCGAAGTAGCGGCTAGTCCAGAAGAACCTATGTGACCAGCCATCAAGGAGGAAATCAGGTGCAAAATAAATGAACGTGCACTCTAGCCGCGGGCAAGCGAATAGAAAGCCAGCGCGTCGCCTCTCAAGAGGGTGCACCAGTTCGCTGTTATGTTAGCCTTGCTACCTGCAGGACTCCTGCAGGTGTGAAATGTCGCTCGCTCACTGGCTATCCGCCCTGCTCTCACAGAAGCCCTGCTCAGACACCTGGCTTATTTCCTTATTTCTCTTGCTCTCCACGGAGAGACTCGCGTCATCTCTCCCTTGCCATATGTGCATGTATGTAAATATACACAGCTACAAAAAAAAAAAATAGATACGGTCAAGAGAACAGTCCCCAGCTCGGCCAGGAGACTGCTTCCGGAAGTGATCAGTGAGGATTTAGTGGCCAGATTTAGGCAGACAGCATTTCTTTCCACCCAAGCCTTTTGTGCCCTTTAATTTGGCACAATGTTTTCTTTGGCGTTCTGGGCTGTTTTCTTTCAGATTCTGAAAGAATTTTCAGGATTCTAAGTTGCGTTTTTGTTCATTTTAATTTAATTTTTTTTTGAGGTAGGGTCTTACTGTCTAGTCCAGGCTGGTCTTGAACTCGGGATCTTTCTTCCTCAACCTTCCAAGTGCTGTGATTACAGTGGTGGGTCACCCCACCCCCTAAGCCTGAGTGTTTTGAGAAACACGATACAGTAAGCCAGAATTGGGGTGCCTTTAAACTGCAGCATTGGAAATGTTTTTTTTGTCATTTTTGCAAAGTTTAATAAAATTTAATAACTTGGAATTTCTGAACGCCTTGGAGGTTCGCTGCAGTAGCCAGTTCAAGCTGGCTTTGAGAGGAAGAGTCCGTCTCAAACTTGATGGGATCTGGGAGCCTGCTCCTTCACAGGGCAGCATGTTCTCTCACGGTCTAGCATCTCCTTATTAGAAAGATAATTCATACTTTCAGCTTCCTTCACTCACTTGCACTTCTGCCCTCTAGAGCCGCAGGAATAAAGCTAATTCTTCCACATGATGGCTTTGCAGGTATGTAAAGGGAGTTATGACCGTTTGTAGGATCCTTCAAAGTTTTACCCATCTAGAATTTGGCTTTGATCCATGGAGAACAGCTATATGATTAGATGTAATTGAAAAGGTCTTTTGATCACCATATAAAAGTAGTACTAAATAAGAAGTATTTATTTGAGCCGGGCGGTGGTGGCGCATGCCTTTAATCCCAGCACTCGGGAGGCAGAGCCAGGCGGATCTCTGTGAGTTTGAGGCCAGACTGGTCTACAGAGCGAGACCCAGGACAGGCACCAAAACAACACAGAGAAACCCTGTCTCAAATAAACAACAAACAAACAAACAAACAAACAAAAAAGAGTATTTATTTCAAATTAATTTAGGTGGTCGGTATACTAGAAAATGGAATTGTAGATGACATATGATTCTGTACTATGATTAATCCGGAGTCTAGCCTTAATCTGCTGAGTCAGCTAGCTAATCATCATCTCAGAATCACAAGTTGTCATAAGGATAAGGGGAAAGAATGCACTTAACTACCGCATATTTAAAAATTGAAAGGTTTATGCGCAAATATCATTCTGTGAATATTATTGTACGAGGGCCAGCTCAGTAGCTACAAAATGTATCCTAGCAGGCAGTCGTTTACAATGTTTATTTATTTACCTTTCCGTGTATGGGTGCTTTGCCTGCATGTATGTCTGCGCACCATATGCTTTCCTGGTGCTTGATCCCCTGAGAGTGGAGTTCTAGACAGTTATGAGCTGCCATGTGGGTGCTGGGACTCGAACCCAGGTCCTCTGGGACAGTAGTCCGTGCTCTCAACTTCTGAGCCATCTCTCCAGCCCCATCACTTTTCCTATTACCAATGCCTCACGGTGAAGACGGAATACACAAACAGCCATGGGCAATGAAACCTGGCGAGCACCTGCTTTAGCAGTCAACTCGGGAAGCCAGCCTGTCCTCTGAACAGCCAACAGCCCAGAACGCCAAACCATAACCTTGGCAGCAAGTGGTGCAGACGCTAGGCACTGGTACAGTGAGTCAGTTGGCTTTTGTCCTGATTTCAACATAGGCCGATCAGAGGAGGCCAGGTAAGCTCCCCAACATGCTGTGCACTGATGCTAGCCTGCTCTCGGTGTCTCTGTACTAGGATCCAATCAGAGACTGTCCAAAGCCTTCCTTTATTTTCACCATAAAACTTTCTCATGTCCCTCCCTGCCTTTAAGCCCTTGCCTTCATTTTTGGTAGATGAATCCCTTGGTGTAGCAAGCTTGGATAAGTTCTGTTTTCATGTGTGAAAACAAAATTTATTTATTCCCATGCCTTTCTGAAGATCTCACAGAAATATAATTTGTACCGTCCATCACCGGGGGCTCTAAGTCATCTACCAGGAACAGTCTCCCAAAGCCCCTCGGTACTGCTCACAACTTTCTGTGTCTGCACTGAGGTGTGCGAGGTCAGCGTTACTCCTGAGCTCTGCTGTATTTGTCTTTGAGTTATTTGGCTATCAGTGTACCTAGGCTTCGTTACCAGTTCCCATTGTTTAGTGTCTTTGTGAGAGTCATACCGATCGTTTCTTTTCCTCTTTTGTTCTTTGTTTGGCTTCTGTTCTGGGATGTGATGTCTAAAAGTGTTGTCGTGGAGTAGAGCGCAGATGTGGGCCCCGCAAGCCCTTCGCTTGAGTGGCCTTCACAGATCAGCATGGTTGCCACTCCAGATAATCATTTGGACAAACCAGATAAAGTCACCCTTCCATCTGGAATTTGATTTCGAGCCACAGAGCATTCTCTCTGGTAGTCTACCTGCCTGGGAAGCACAGATTTCTGGGCTTCGCGAGGAAGCAGCTAAGCACCCAGTCAGGGCTAGAGCACGCACAAATCACTTTTTAGAAAGGGTTATAGGATTTATCTTAGGTGTATGAGTGTTTTGACTGTGTGTATGTGTGTGTACCACATCTGTGTCTGGTGCCCATGGAGGTCAGAAGAAGGCACCAGATGCCCTGGAACTGGAGTTGGTTGGTTGTGAGTCACCAAGTGGTTGCTGGGAATGGAATCCAGGTCTCCATAAGATCAGCAGGAGATCTTAACAGCCAAGCCATTCCCCCACCCCAAGCTTTCCTTTCGGCCACCTTCTGCCGGCTCTTATAACACCATCCAAGTCTGGTTTTCCTCCTTCTTATGTGCACACTCAATACAATCCGAATCCTCGTGACTACCTTGCTAAATGGCACAAATTTATTAAATATGATTTGGGTCTTCAGTGACCACCCTAGGGAATATTGTACTTCAACAAAATTGTTTGAGAGGCACCTTAGAAAATAAATGGAATATAATCTGTCAGACCCTGTGGGGAACATTTTTGATTAGCATATATGTAAGGGTCATGTGAGAATCCAGCAGCTGCTCAAACCACAGTGCTTTGCTGTTGTTGGTTGTTTTTGCTCTTTTGCTCTTTTGGGGGGCCTGTCACTCTAGCTCCCAAAGAAATCACACACAGAAGCTTATTCTTACTTATAAATGTCTGGCCTTAGCTTGGCTTGTTTCTAGCCAGCTTCCCTTAACTTTAAATTATCCTGTCTACCTTTTGCCTCTGGGCTTTTCCCATTCTCTTACTTCTATAAATCTTACTCTTACTCTGTGGCTTGCTGTGTAGTTGGGTGGCTGGCCCTTGGAGTCCTCCTCCTTCTCTGGCTCCTTCCTCTCTCTTGCTCCTCCTTCTTCCAGATTTCTCCTTTTATTTATCCTCTCTGCCTGCCAGCCCTGCCTATTTCTCTCTCCTGCCTCACAGCTCTTTATTGGACCATCAGGTGTTTTAGACAGGCACAGTAACACAGCTTCACAGCGTTAAACAAATGCAACATAAACAAAAGTAACCACCTTAAAATGCTGTTCTACAACACTTTGAAGCTGTTCTTCCTCTTTTGTAGGTACTAACAGGCACCTGCCAGGACACTGTCCACAGCCCCCAGCTAACAGACTTCCAGAATCCATGGCCTCTTACCTGGAAAGTGTGTTTACATCAAAGAGGGGGTATAGGTCCCCACCGCCTTCCCGGTCTCCTTCTTTGGGAATCAGAGAACTTGGATACAGGTTTGTGTTGTGAAATACCCCCATCCTCAGCTAGATACAAGAAAAGATTCCCACTTCTGTCCCACGGGTCCTGCGTTCTTCTTTTCAGAGTCCCCACCACACTGTCTCTGGTGCTCAGAGCCCCCAACATGCTGTTGAATTATCTATCTGTTCATGCTATTGAATACATCTTGTGGTCTCAATGAACAATCTCTGTCTCAGTGTCCTCTGTCATATCTGAGACCATCCAACAGAGAGGCCTCCAGGTGAAAACCCTATACACAAATTGCTTCACTAAAAGATTCTTTGGATAGATAAATAGCCAATGATCAGCCTGACCAAATTAATGTTCAGTTGGAAGCTCCGCCTCAGCCTCACTCCCCCCCCCATTCCAAACCCTCCCCTCTCAGAAAGCCCTCCAAGCGGCATCTCCTCCCTTGGAGATGCTCAAGACTGCGCTTACAGGGTTTTCAAGCTCTCTTCTCTAGACCTACCATGTGATTTCTCCTCCTCCCTCCCCCGCCTCACTTCTGGGGGGCTTGAGAGTCATTCAGGGGCGCTTTTGATCTTTAAACCTGGTCTTCTTGATTCAGTTTGATCTGGCTTATTGTGTCTGCAGAGAAACCTATTACCAGGGATCCAAAAATGCTTACCAGTTAACACCGAAGTAGAGCCATGGCACAGTCAATTCCACCCCTCTTGTTCTCCACTTGACTCCACATCCATGTCTTCCTTCCTCCCTTTATCTTTTTGGTTATGTTCTTCCCTCCTTCATTTCTTTTCTCCCCCATCTCCAGACTTCTTGCCTTTCCCGACAACTCTCTTAAGATGGTAAATGTCGTCTGCTTCGGAGAAGCCATTGCTTTCATAAGTCAGGCATACTGGCACCTGTAGAATTTAAACCCCGGACCCAAGGTCAATTCAGAGTTGTAATTAAAGAGCTCCCAAAGCCCCCCAACAGACAAACAAGTATGCCTAGAAAAACTTGAAATTCTTTGACCTGGGAGCATCTCTGTGTGATGGTTTGTGCTAATTGTTAACTCGAATTAGGGTCACCAAAGAGAATGGCCACGGTGCATGCCTGTGGGGAATTATCTTGATTACATTAATTGACTATGAGATCTTTAGGGTGTGCAAGACCGTTCTCTGAATGTGAGTTCTGAAATGTTTGAAGGAAAGAGAGTGCTGAGCACTAGCATGCATTCATCTTTGCCTGTTTACTGATTGTGAATGTGGTGTGACCAGCTGCTTCAAGCATCTGCTGCCTTGACTGCCCTGATGGACTGCGCCTTTGAACTGTGAGCCAGAATAAGCCCTTTCTCCCTTAAATTGCTTTCCTCTGAGTATTTTATGACAGTAACAGGGAAAGAAACTAAGACGCTGACCTTTATCAACTTGTACATTGTGTTGCTTAGAACCCCAGATACTAATTCTGGGTGGCAAGAGTTTATTGGACTGATCCAGAGAGGAATCTACAGGATTTTTCTTTCCATGGTTCAACCAAAATTAAGTCAAATAAAACATACAAAAACAAAAATTGCCTAAAGTCTAAGCAAAGACATGCTGTACACATTTCCACTAAGAATTATTTGGATTTAGGATTAAGAGACAGTTCAGTGGTTGAGAGCACTTGCTGCTCTTGCAGAGGATACTGGTTCTGTCCCCAGCATCCACATGGTGGGTGGCCCACAACCATCTGTAACTCTAGTTCCAGGGGATTTGATGCTCTCTTCCGACCTCTGTGGGCACCAGGCACACATACTGTACAAATACATACATAGAAGCAAAACCACATACACACATAAAATAAAGATAAAAGAACTGGGGCTGGAGAGATGCACTCACACTGGCTGTTCTTCAGAGGACTCAGGTTCAATTCCCAATAGTCACGTGGCATCTTAACAATGTCTATAACTCCAATTCCAGGGGATCTGACACTCTCTTCTGGCTGCTTCAGGCACCAGGCATGCACCTGGTACAGAGAAATACATCCAGGCAAAACACATATGCATAAAATTAACAAATAAAGCAAAAACTCTAAAAAATAATTTAAAGAATTATTTGAGCAAAGAATCAAACCAAGGAACTAGATAGAATTAAAATACATTTATATTCTTGGAGTATTTTATAAAGTGCCTCTAACAGCCCTACTCTTTCTACATTAAACATTCCCATGCTCATTCTGCTTTTTCCTTGGGCTAGTTAGAGCCCAAAGGGGATAACTGTTTCAAATAACCACAAATCTTTATTATATCTCAGCTTGAAAACTTTGTGCTCTTCGCTGGAAAGCATTCCTAATGGCTCTGTAATCTCATGTCTGTAAATTTTACACACAGAGAGTTAGGCTTTGCAGATGGAATTACAGTATTACACATATACCAGGGGCCCCTTTGTAAAGGTTTCAGAGCATTCTTTCTATAACAGTTTTTCTTCTGCACTCTGTGCATACTTGCTTCCTACACACACACACACACACACACACACACACACACACACACACACACAGAGTTGTATTATTTTATGTGTATAGATATTTTATCTGAATGTGTGTCTGTGCACCACATATGTGCCTGGTGCCAATGGGGGCCAGAGAGTATCAGATTCCCTAGGACTGGAGTTACATATAGCTGTGGGCCACCGTGTGGGTGTTGGAAATCAAACCCAGATCCTCTGGAAGAGCAGCCAGTGCTCTTAACTCTGCACCATGTCTCCAGCCCCTTTCTACCCATATTTGATGCATACTCTAGATAAAGATCTTGACACTGCCTGACTCTCTAGAGGCTAAAAATTACACTGATATGGGAAAAACTGGAGTACATGGGAAACCAGACCAGCATACGATTTTCTCTAAGGCCCTAATGAAAGGACAAAGGGAACTTTAGATCTGTGTCCTTGTGCAGGAGTTGACTTGGCAAGGACCATCTAGGATCTAGGGCCAGTGCCTCAAAGGAGTCAAGGTGGCAGTTTCTGAGGACCTGAATCTTCCCCCAGGCAATGGTTATCAGCCCTTAGGCAGCTGTGTTTGAAGTACCCTGTGATCTCTTTGCCAACATTATCTGATGTCGCTCTCTGCTAATGTTGGCCATTTCCCTTGCCTTGCAAATACGATATAAGATGCTGTATTTCTTAGTAAACTTGCTTGGCATAAGTCATCAGCTTATGCAAGACCTACAAATCCAAAACAGCAGGATCTCCATGACACAGGACAACAACAGGACATCCAAGAGGAGCCCCAGTGAGGGACCACTACTGGTGGTACAGCAGAAACCAGAAGCCTCGAGCCAGACCAATGAGTCAAGGCACTGAAAACTTGCAAGTAAAGATGAAAGGACTCCATGGCCCACATTACAACCTCCACGACCAGATTCTTCTTTTTTAAATTTTATTTTTGTTTTTGTTTGGTTTGGTTTTGGCTTTTCTCTTAAATTTGATTTTGATTTGGGCAGGGGGAGGTTGCAAGGGCAGAGGGCAAATGTAAGGAGACGGAAAGATAAATGGGATCAGAATGCATGATGAGAAATCTACAAAGAATCAATAAAAGTAAGCAAGAAAAAGAAAATTGGTAAGCTATGCCCTGTAGCTAGAGTTTTCTCTTCAGGTTCTGCCAAGCCCCTGCAGTCCCTTAGCCCACTTATAAAATAAACATACAGACACTTATATTATTTAAACTGCTTGGCCATTAGCTCAGGCCTATCATTGTCTAGCTCTTACTCTTATATCAGTCCATTTCTATTAATCTATACTTTGCCACGTGGCTAGTGGCTTAATGGTATCTTATATCTTCCTTGTCTTGGCGGTGTCCCATAACAATGCCCAGTTTAAAACAACAAAGCAAATGAACAAACAAAACACAACATCCCAAACTGCTCTTGTGGCTCATTGGAAGGATGTGGGGCGTTTACCCACCACCCCCACAGTTCCCC